TGGCCACATAACCACCTCGGGAGTGCATTATTTCTCTAATAATATTAATGGCCTGGAGTCCCAACCACACATCAAGACATTGTTCAGATCATTTGTTTCAAGACATTTGACATGTTTCCGTCCTGAAATCTCGTGTGGGTTGAACTAATTTTTTTACGCACCTCATCCCAAACCTTCCGTTGCAAATTCCAAAATGTCATTTTAGAGCTGATAACAGAGGCTTGAGCCATTGATATGCAGGCTTACGCAGTTATTAATGCAGTCTAATGCGGTTATTAGAGAGAGAGAGAGGGAGAGAGAGAGAGAGAGAGAGAGAGTGAGAGAGAGCGCGAGATTAAGTGCGTGTGAATACCTGTCTATGCGTCTCTCAGCAGCGTTCAGGAGCAGCGTCTACTAATAGCGAATCTTTAAGTTAAAGTTAAGTTAAACTCCTTCATGAACCTCGCTACTGAGAAATGTCATGTAGCTTTTCAGCTGCGAAACTATTTTACTGATAAATTCGCGGTGCAGTGCTGACAAGAAGTTTGTTCGCGTCTCCGCCTGATTTCCGTAGCCTACATAAAAAAGGTGGAAGACATGGGAATAGTTTGTCATTTTTTACCCTATTGTTTGTTATATTTATTTGCTCAATGTCTTGAGCAATGCGTAAATCCGGCCCTGTTAGATGGCAATCGGAAGTTATTACAAACACTCGATGGTGGTTTAAAGTGAGTTTTTAGCAAAAGCGGAATATAAATCTGATTTATTGCCTTATGTAGCATGATGCTACAGTTTGCATGAATGGTCACATAACACGCGCTTTCGGTCGTGTAACGTTAGTATGAATGGACATCTGCATATGATTGGAACTCCACGCAGCTCCCGCGCTACTCTATACTGGTGGTATTACAGTACCACGAGAGCTAAAGAGAGCAGACAGCTCCGTGCGCTTTCGAATCGCTCTCGCGGATTATCGATCTGCGCCGTGCCTCTAGTCGAACACACCGGCAAGTGCTGCAGGCTTATTGGCTCACTAACGTTGATGAGATTAACCCCTTAGGTATTGAAATTTGGTACCAAACGACAAGACGTTTTTCGATACTCGATGGTATCGAGGCAATTCGGTCGGTGCCTAAAAAGTATCGAACTCGATACCCAGCCCTACCACTCACAGTCTTCCAAAGATAAACAAATAAAAAATAAATAAATAAATAAAACTTGACCACTGATTTCTAGTTGTGTCCTTTTGGAAGACCAAACAAAGTAGTTTCGCTTTCACAACACAACACACAGCAGCTCCACGACATGGCGGCGACAACAACAATACTACAGTGAGAATCAAAGTTACACCTTCTTTCTTTGCGTATACATTTGGGCCGTGTTATGCAAATCTTCCCACACAGTGACGTAGACATGTGGGGGCGTGTTTAAACGAGGCGTTTTAGGGGGCGTGGCAGAGTCTTAACTTTTATAAAGAATATCTCTTTGGGTTTGAGACTTTAGTCTTTGCAACTGTAGGGATCTTATCGATTCACGAACAGCTTGAAACACGCCAAAGAGAAAGGAAAACTTGAAATCGCATCATATGACCCCTTTAAGAAATTAACACTTATTCCGCACGTGAGCATTAAATTAAAAGTGAAAATAAATGTAGCATTTTACAAAAGATTTCCACTTTAATTTCAACAGCAAAAATGGTGTTCTTTTGAACTGTCAAAATATTTGTTCAAACCATTACAAATACTACGAACAGAATAATTTGTCTGAAATTTGTAACATGGATTGGAGCACAATGGGCAAAAATTGAATAAATAATTTGAGCAGGAGTGCTCACCTCTGCTCGATGCCCAAGTGTGCGTTGATACTGGCATAGCGAGCTGTGCCTGTGAGATTTTTGTCTTCTCTGTAGGGTATGTGCTGTCGTGTCCTGTTGTCTCTGTATTTCTTGGCCAGACCAAAGTCGATGAGGAACAACTGTACAAATAAATTGAAAAGAGAAGCACAAACACAGACATTTCATTTTTAGAACTGACTATAAACAAGAAACACACACACTTCAGTCCACAAATTCATTATTCATTTTTTTCCAACTTCCTCCTGTGAGCTGTCTGACCTATTACCTGGACCTCAGAACAAAAACTATACATCCAGCAGTTGTAATCAATGAAGCGACGGGGTCAGAGTCAAAAATGAAAGTGAAGCTTACTGGGAAAGGAAACACAAGCAGAGATGTAAGAGTCAGTTCTAAGAGCCTGTCATTGACCGAAATATTCTCATTAGTGGAAAGCCACTCAGATCCTGTGTCCCACACACACACTCCTACAGGACTCAGCCCAGCAAAAGCGCCTCACCCAACTGGTTTTTCACTGAGGCAGCAGCCATATTGTAACGTATCCACTCAGCCGCGCCACTGTTTGCTTGGCTCAACCAGGGATTTGAAACATATTTTCCTCTTGTCAAGACAATTAGTTACGCCAACCATGCAATTCCACTTCTATTAGAGGTCAAGTCAGGAGAAAACGCTACAACCAAAGCTTACTAGAAATTCACAAACATTTTATGATTTACCTCTTGCTCAATAACTTCTTTTAATATGTGTAAAAACAAAACCATGGAAAACAACACACTGCAGCAAAGTCACCTTTAAAGAGCATCCATCATTGGAAAACTGCTTAAACTTAAATGTATCAAGAACCCACAATCTTTAAAGAGCAGGTCATATGGTATTTTAAAGTAATATTGTGTTGGAGTCCTCTACAACAGGTTTAAATGCATCTAAGGCCAGAAAACATTTGAGTAATTTGCCAATTATTTCGAAACGATTCGTTCCAAGCAAGTTCGGAGCTTCCATAAGCCTACTCTGCTCTGATTGGTCAGCTGGCCAAGCCTGTTGTGATTGGCACAGAGAGGAGTCCTTGAGCAAGTTAGCGAGCGCTACCATTGACAAAGCACCTTTACATAAAATAATAACGTGAAAAGCCCGCAGGTGATGGAGATTATCGTGCAGCCCTAAATATAGTGCTCCAATCCGTTTTTAAAATAATGGCATAAATACAAAAACACTTATGAAAGCGAATCGTGCCCACAGCCAAAGTTTAGCTGCTAAACTGTAAACACTTAAAACAATAATGGTGGATACATTAGCTGAGTGCTAATGTGACTAACTGATGAAACAATACAGTTTGTAAACCAAAATATGTCTACTGTAATATTTGAAGAACAACAGACAAAAGACGCTCTGTGTCTTAACTTTTAATCAGATCACAGGCGCAGCAGCCTAACTAACTCACTCGTCTCTCCCACATTAACCCTATAACTGCCGGTGCAGCAAAATAAACAGCAATTTCACAATGATTATAAAGTCTGTGCGCTACACTACATTATTATTAAGCAAAGTAATTATTAGAACAACGTCAGTCTACATTAATCAACACATTCTTAGGAAATAGTGGGTTTGCAGCGAATTATCAGAACTATTTCAGTACGACAGTAATATCGTGCTTTACCTGGAAACCTAAAGCTGGACTAGGTATACATCACATATTAGCAAAAAAACTTGATATTTTGAGCACTCAATTGAAAATGTACACAACGTATCAATCGTACTTACAGGTTGTGGTTTGGAGAGTCCAAATTAAGAAGATTAGAAGCCAACAAAGATAAAAGCCAAGATTAGAGAAGCAGTCCTTGGTAAAATGACGAGCACACAACAAAAGGTTCAAATTGTATTTCTGTGGTATCCTTGAACACAGCGTCTTCTAGTGCTGTGTTCGATACATCGATACGATGATGTATCGTCACAGAGATTTGACGATACGAGTATCGATACAGCTGGCCCTGTATCGATATTGTAGCATGTGTGCAGCAGTGGACCGCACTTAATTTGAATACAAGAATGTTTAAAATTGAGCAGAAAAGTGCGAGGTTTCTAAAAAAAAAATAATGAATAGAGCATAATATATAGGCTATAATAAGGTTTAATCTGGCCGCAGAGGAACACAACTGGGTTGCCTGATATAAAGAGACATCATCCCCAAAACAGAGCTTTACACTTGCGCAATACGGAAATATCTGCTAAATGCTCCCTCTCCACTGTGGATAAACGCGCTTGCTTTCTGAAAACACCGGTTTTAGTTTTAGCTTGCAGTTTAGCGATCTCCACTTCAATATTCTATTCTCGTAAAAGTGTAATTCATCAAGTGTTCATTTATGAGAGAGAGAGAGAGGGACTGTGTATGTATGAATTACCACCGTTTTGCCGTGTTTCTCTATTAACAGTGAAGCTGTGGCTTTAATTCCTCTAGAAACTACAATGTTACCAGCTCCTTGTTGAGAAAGATAATGTAGCTCTTGAGCGATTAAGCTATTTAGTTGATAAAATTGCGGAGCAGCGCTAAAAAGTTTGTTCCTGAATGACGACTCATTAAGGCGATTCAGACAATCTTTATTTATCATGCACTTTTTTGATTAACAACTTTGCAGACCGTTTTCATTTAAGCATAGCTACGTTATAAACCTCAAAAGAAATATTTTTCAAAAACCTGCTCATGAACCCTATGACCTGCTCTTTAATGATAAAGAGGAAGCATTAAATAAGAAGTGGTTTTCTGGCAAACACTGATTTAAACATTTTCAAATTATGTAAGCGCCCTTTCTCCTCTGAAATAGCCGGAGGTACAAGTACTTGGCCACCACTGAAAAAACCCACACAAACATTTAATATTTAGCTATTTTAACTTCCTGTCAGTGCTCTGAAGATGACTACAAATAGCTGTGATCCCAACAATCTTTGGCTTCAGGAGCTGAGTACCAAATGTTATATCTTATTTTATTTAGCTGAACTGAACATTTAAATAAAGAGGAGCACATCTCTCAACAACACTACAAGAACATGCAACAATTTAAGCAACAGTTTAAATACCAAGTGTTTAAAAGGTCAACCCGGTCAATACCAGGCCACAATTTTCACGTGGCTTGTTGTGCAATTAGTTGCAGGCTAGCAACATTCTGATGGCATGTTCCAACGTTAGGTGGCTGGTTCGGGAAAACAAACCTCGGTGACACAAAGTGCTGCTGACAAACTGAAAGATGCGTTCTGCAACAAGAACAAGCACCCAATGCAGTGAAACTAGGCCAATCAAATTATTCTGTCAAAAAGTCCTTTATTAAAAATCAGAGTAGAGCACTGGGCTTTGTCTATCTGCAACAACTCTTTAAATGGAAAGCAGTGAATTCTCATACATAAAATAAGTAAATTCTAGCATCGAAAATAAAGTAAAAAAACTAACCAAAAAAACAATAAGTTAAAATTTTATGTTATGACAGAATAATTTTAGAACTGACTAGGACTGAGAACAATCAGGTACTTCTTTCCGAAGTCCTTCACCCGCCTGTACAGAGATCCCTTCAATCTGGATTAGGAGTTAAATCTCTAGTTCTGTTTAGCATGTGTGTCTGGTTTAATGCCAACAAACGCTAATGGTTATTGTTGAAAATCAAAATGGAAAAAGAACTCCAAAAGGCAAAAATAAATAAATAAAATAAAATCATCAAATCAAAATAATTTTGGGCGATTATTAGGAGGTGGTTGTGGTTTCAGACCTGGTTTAATCCTGAGAAAGATGGGTCCTGAGAAGAACTAACAGCCAAGCTTCTTTTCCTCTTCCCCACTGGAGATTCTAAACACTGAACAGACAATAGAGGGTGCAGTGCATCAAACAGTATTGCTGACAACCGGAGACGGCCAGCGCAGACAGGCAACACCAAGGCTCAGAAAAAGAACGTGAGGAGGAGCAGAGGGAGGGGAAGAGAAAGCCTAAGGCAATCCTTCATCCACCAGCAAGCGTCCTAGCTCAAACTCAGAGGAGGCTCTGCTAATGGCAAACGTCTTCCCATAAGCCCAGGCTCAGATACTAGCAGATAGTTGTTGTTTTTTCAGACCATATAATGCAGGGCCCTCATCAGTTCTTGAGCCATAGAGGCAAACTGTACATGGCACCTCTGGCCACCCAACCCAGTGATCTTCCTCTCATCTACACTAATTGTTCCCAAGCCTGATTCTCTTTTTTGACTTTGCCAAGACTTTATCCATAAACATTCAGCAGCATTTAACACTAGCTGTGCCATACAGCATTTAACAGCTAAGCCCACCTTAGCATGGGGCGAACGAGACAAATGGCACAACTAGGGTTAATAAGGGCAAACTCTAAAAGGCCATTCACTACAATGGGCACTTGTTTTAATATTAGGCATGAGAAGCTTTAAGAACAAATGCAACCAACCAAGTTAAAAGTCCTGTGAAGGATAAATATTGCATTTCGTGTTTGACAGATCACTGGACCACCTACAGTAAGGAAGAGGCTAGAATACTTTGGCGTGTAGAGAGGCCAAATCAGGTAGGGATGAAGCTCTGAAGAACAAAACAAAAAAGCATGCAGTTCAAGAGGTGCATGACTTAACCTGCATGTTATTGCAAAAACAGTTTGAGTTTAGTTACAAACGACAAGATGGGACTACTTCGGTTGAAGTGACATTGGAAACTTCAATATAGCAGCCCAGGGTAAAGCAACAAAACAAGCTATTAGTTAACAATGGTGCCAAGCTGAGTACGTTTATCTGCAATGTGACAGAAGAGTGGGGGACTGTGCGATGAGAATATGTCAGACGTGAAGTGCGCTGTAAAAATGAAGGAATATCTGGACCTGAACTTTCTAAGTAAATCTAGGAACATAATACTGCATAAAGCATAAACAATGGCTTCTCAAAAACTTTAATTTTTAAACTGACTCTCATGTGCAACTGATGTCACCTGTTGGCCTCCACCATTCATGGTCAAGACATTCACATGCTTTACTCTTTCTCCAAGTTAAGATTGTTAATCTTGAAAAATGTTTTACTGGGGGCTGGATTTAAGAGTGGTAATGATCATATGAGAGATGTAAGCAGAGAGCAATGAATAATGCGAGAGAAAAGGCCTTTTAATTCCTCACTGAAAGAGAGTGGGTTTGCAAAGCAATAGCTACATCAGATCTTCTCGCTTCACTTCTTAACTACGATTTTTTTCCAGGGTGGATGTCGACAGCTACACATCCAAAAGCAGAGCGTGTGCATCCATAGTTTTAGTGAAAAAGGTGACAATTTCATGTGTATCAAAATAAAAGCTTGAGGCTGGCATTCACAGACACACAATGGTAAACATTTATTCCAGACAGCACTGCCAAAAATGGTAATACAGGCTTCACTGAAGTACCAAAAAGTACCAGAATTTGTAGTGGAAACTGATCTGAACTGTTAGACGACCATCAGAGCTTGCACTTGTAGGTCATTGTTTTATTTTGCACCTGATGCTTTAAATTTGCCAAATGTTGCCTGTCTGCAAGGGCTCAAAATTACGAGTTATCTGAAACAAAATACAAATCAGGCAACTTCTGTACATTTGAATAGAGAGAAATAAAAGAGTGCAAAGCACTTCAATGGCTCTTAATCGAAGGGAGAAATAAAAAAAATAAAAATAAAAATAAAAAAACAACACACAACCACAAGTCACATATCACGCACAAGTTCCATTTGAGGAATGAAAGACATACAATCCATGTCCACATATGTCCACAGCCCAACCGTCAAGTGATACTCGAACCATTGATAAGTTAAGCTGTAAACATTGTGTCGAAGGACTCAATGCGGTTTTAATTCTCTGCTCCTATGATTTCCCACCAAACATTCTTTGTAGAACTCAACCATCCCAAATCAGCAGAGCAACATCAAACAGAACTATCACAGGCTCTCAAGCCAGTGTTTGTCCATGAGAAAGTCTCAATGTAGCAGGAAACCTTAGTGATCTGCAGTCTTATTCGCAGTCAAACCTCCATGTCACTTTTAAATCTTTAAACGGACTCTCTCTCACATAAATAGGGAAATGGTGAAAGTTTACCTTATTACAGTGACGGCCAATACCCATTAAAAAGTTGTCTGGCTTGATATCTCTGTGGATGAAATTTTTTGTGTGCACATACTCGATTCTGCTGATCATCTGTAGAAGCAGAACAACCAGGTTAAGATCGTGCCACAGCAACATTAAATGTTTGCTATTAAAAGCCCGAGTTAACCATTCATTACCTGATCTGCAAGCATTAGGACAGTTTTCATTGTGAATCTGCGGGAACAGAAGTTAAAGAGATCCTCGAGACTTGGCCCCAGCAGGTCCATCACTAGGACATTATAGTCCTTTTCTTGGCCATACCACCTGAAAAACAGCATCACATATCGATGAACACCAACAGATGACAACAGGACTGCATGACAATTATTACAAAAGCATGAAAATTACGAAACCTATGCCTCTCAAAAGGAGCAGATCCTTTAGATCAATTCAGTGATGCACGATACTGCTCAAGTTTACTAGATGAGATTTTAGCGCAAGCAAATTACAATTAAATTAAAACTAGAGGTCAACCAATGGTGCATTTCACCAATACCGATAGCTCTCAGCCTTGACAGCAAACATACTTGACAGCAGAGCCTTCAGCCGCTCCAGCAACGGACGCATCACAGAAAAACTAATCGAGAGGGATTTTTGCCAATAGTTCTGGCAATCGACTATCTGGGCGATTAATCGGCAAAATCGATCAATCGGTCAACATCTAATTAAAACACTATTAAAAATGAACATAGCTGACTAAGTTATATTGAGCCAATAAAGCATGAATCTTATCAGTTAAGGAAAAGTTGGGAGTTGCACGGCACACCCTGTGGACAATAGCATCCAATATAGCCAGCTTAGTAACATGACTGCATGTAGAGTCTGCAGTAACAAATATAACATGTTATTTTTTGCCCCTTCAAGACAAAGAAAAAAAAAAGATGGCAGTGCAAAATTGTTTATGGTATTCAAAATAAAATCAACTAGGTGGCTCACAAATATTTCAACTTTGACAACAAGATACACAACTTAGCAGGTGGAGGTTCAAAAGAGTTTGTTTTAGAGTGAACACATTTCTACAGCAGTCGCCAAGCAACCATCATGCTAGAGACTCTGCTAAACAAAGAGGTATTGAGAAGACACAAGGTGCAGCAGTAGACTAATATTTATTCGGTCATCTGTGCCAGCAAACCAACATCTACCATTTCACAATGACAATAGAAAATGTACTTTGAACCACAAACTGGCTCCTAATCCTTGTGATGGTTATATCGCAGAAGCAATGACATCCATGCTAATTGCTGATATAAAAACAGTGAAAACCGTTTTGTTGATAATCAGTTTTAGGCCTTTTCATGTAAATGTACAATTGTGTAGGTCTTGGTGACACATCCTAAAATACAAAATCACCAGCATAAATAAAGAAGAATCAAAGTGGTTAACATTTTCCCATAAGTTAATACCAAAAAATACTGTAAATGTATACTACGAACCTAAAGCCCCATTCACACCAAGAACGATAACTATAAAGATAACGATATAAGCATCCACAACAGGAAACAATATCGTCTGTTTATTCTAAGCGCACGCACATCTGCCGCTTTAAATACTTGAGCTTGTTAAAGCAGGATGGATTCTGATTGGCTGTCAATTTTTTATCGTTCATCAGCTGGAGAAAAATATTTTTAAAAGTGATTCCAACTATATAGTTTCTCTTTGTCTTTATTGTTATAGCTGTGGTGTGAACTCTGCTATTCTTTAATATTGAGAACGATTTTTAGAACTATCTTTATAGTTACCGTCTTTAGTGTGAATGGGCCTTAACCTGAAAAAACTCATGTTTCACAAGTATAAACTCATTCACAATGCTTACAGTACATATCAACAGTGATCTCTTGCTTACGGAAACTACAGGCCTCTCTGTGGGACACTCATTTCCTCTTTTCAAAGCAAAACTAAGGGGAAAGCTGAACAAAACAGTGTAGTTTGCCTGAACATTTTAACTTTAATAAACTGCCTTGTATTTAATCACAGAGGTATTGGTGTACATGTATATATATTTAAAGTGAGTAGACACTTTCCTGTGATTGAGCTTACATAAAAGACTTTGAAGATCACACAAAGCTCTTTTCTTTCATTAGCAAAGGCAGTGAGTGGCTTTAGGGAGTGTGGGGGAGGGGATCTCGTATGGCAGGTTTTCCAAGATCTAGTAACCAGCCACTGAACCCAGTACTTTTACGCATCTTTTCTACTGGAAACTTCAATTGATTCATTAAACCAGTTCAAGCCAAAGTGGCACAGAAATATGAGAAATGCACAACCAGTTTTTTTTAATCACAAAAAAATAAAAGTAGTTTAAGTAGTTAAGACACTATTTTTTCATTCAATCCACATAGCTTAAAAGGAGTAGAGTTAATCTAGAAGGGAGTTTAATATGCTATACTTTTTAGTTATAACTAATGGCTGCACCTGGACTTGTTCAAAGTCCCTTTAAGGCAAGTCATGTCACTCGGCAGCCATCTTTGAAACGCCTCTCGGGCATGCAAGTGCAGCTCCTATCTCTTTGAACGGGAAAACATCAAATTCTCCAAAACTGTTCACCAAGCTTACGATTAAATTTCATATTTGAAATCACCAATGAAATCTGACAACAACTGTATCATAAATGTTGTTTATTTTGCTCAAATAGCATTATAAAAAGCATATTTCTTAGGCTAGACCAGCCAGTGCGTATGCGCAGTCCTAAGCGCACGTCTCAGAACGCTGACTGTTTCTATAGAAACCGGGACTTCTAACAGCAGCTGCAGTGACGCGATGACTTTACTGATTAGCGATTGGCTCTTTTGCTCAGAAGGCGGGGCTTCGTTTGATAGAGCAGCCATATTGAGCATTGCATTTTTCCCCATTTAAAACTTTACGAGTGACACGTCTTGGGTATTCTAAAGTCTTTGACTTGTCCTTAAAGTGTTTGGTTAATCCATCCATCCATGACAGGGGTTACCCAACTCTTAACTGCAGAGGGTTAAATAACTAACTAAGGTCTAACAGTTCAGGTTTCTAATCATCCAAGCTGCTGTCAGCATGAGATGCCACAGAAATGGACACCCAAATGCTATCTGTAATGGCAGTTCATTGATGGCAAAGGCAAGGCATTCGTATTCATACAATTATCTAGCGAAGTCTTCTGACAGCTGGATTAGTTTACTAAATGATATACTATGATCAACAAAGGAATTAGAAACTAACGAGCAACAAAAATCATGGCTGATGAAGCACTTATGATGACTTTAGGAAAAGAAGCAGTTAAGAGCAAACGATTTGGTTTGAAATATTGCAAGAAATTAGGTGCGGTCACATTTACCACTGTCTGGTGAAATTTCACAGGCAAATTCCAGTCATTTCAACAGAAATACAAGCGATCAGGAATTTCACGCGAGAACGAAACAGTTCCATACGCAGGTTAGACTCAGGTTGGTCATGTGACTCATTATTGTGAAATAAATTAAATATTAATATAATAATATAAATATAATATATATTAATAGAAGCAAAGTTTAATAGAAATATTCACTAAATCAATATAGTGTTACAGATCATGTTATTTGTCCCATGTAGTAGCCAGACCATTTTTGTGCCAGCAAGTAATGCCAGCCTTTTCCATCATATAGCCTACCACCACAAGAATATTTTAGACCTGTGGAAAACACTGAGATAAGTAAAAAAAATTGTAATAAACCAAGCTGCTATAGTAATTCGGGTAGACAGAGCCAAGAGCGGAGGTTTATAAGAATTAAAAAAAAAAAAAAACTGAAAACTTCTGTCAGGTCGCCAGGCTAATTAAAAATGATTATATCTGAAATATTTCTTTTTGTTTCAATTTTAGAGTTTAGATCTGCAATGAAAATAACATGTGAAAGTTCAGGGTTGGTAACCTCTTCACAGCAAACTATCATGAAACTTTTATCCAAAGTTATTTCCGAGCCCATGTTAACGGATCAGAGCGTTCACACTGCATGCGACCGCGGTCCGGCAGTGTGCTCCAGGAGCGGAGCATAGCATTATTCGCGGTAAAAATTAACATGGATTGACACGGAAATTTAGTAATTACACCATAAATGCATATAATTAAAGTCTACTGTTTCACAGTCAACACATGGCTTTTTGGCTAGATTTAAAACAAGGAAAAGTGCACTTTTAGATAAACAACGCAATAATAGATGGCACTCTAGTGGTGGTAGTTATATTTATTGAGTTTAAACGTGAAAATGTCTATGAAAGATTGTATTACTGTACTGTGATAAAAGAGAATCACAATGCTGAAAAAGCATTTTCAGAAACAACGTTTGGATTTGAAATCAAAATAATGGATAAATGTTGTGTCTGTGGTAAACAGCCACGGATCAGGAGCGGACTGCAAACCCGTCCTGTGCGAAAGCAAAATGAGTCCGTGCTGCTTCTGCACCGCATACACATAGGCTGTATACGCACTGCAGACGGAGTACTTGTGAACTTGGCGCAACAAATCTAGTTCAACATCTGAGGCAACGCCACAAAGAGCTCTATGACCAATGCATGGCAAAAAAAATCCCTGGACACAGGATTTTTTCCCCCTGCCATGTGTCTATTCTAGAGACGTTTTGTTACACATTTACTTAGTGATTATTTTGCCTTATGTCTGTTCTAGCCACATGTTACAGCTTCTTGATAAAGCTCTAATTGGTTTTCTTTTGGAAATGTTTCAAATTCACACTGAATGCATTTATGACTGTAAAGCATGTCTGTGTGTCAAAATCGTGATTAAAATCGAAATCACAAAATCGATCAAGAAATCGCGTTAGTTTTTTTTTTGTCCATATCGCACAGCCCTACTGCACACCATCAATAGTTTATTTAAAGGGGTCATATGACGTTGCTAAAAAACAACATTATGTTGTGTATTTGGTATAATGCAATGCGTTTATGCGGTTTAAGGTTACAAAAAAAAAAAAAAAACATACTGTATATTATTGCCCCGCCTTTCTGAAATGTGTCGATTTTTACAAAGCTCATCGTTCTGAAAAGCGAGGTGTACGCTGATTGGCCAGCTATCCAGTGCATTGTGATTGGCTGAATACCTCAAGCGTGTGACGGAAATGTTACGCCCCTTACCATACTGTGATGCCATGTACCTGCACGATGAGACAACAACAATAACACCCATTACAAACAAGGCATTTTTTGCATCCAGTGGGACATGATTATAATGACTTGTACTGTCTTTTTACGCGTTGTGTTGCGTATCGCGCTGCATAAACATAAAACCATGTCTGCATTTGTGATCGAAGAAACGAAAAACAACAAGCACTACTCTACACTGCTCAAAACTCGCGTTTGAATCGTCAGTGGCAAATTCTTTAAATATAAAAAATGTACTTACAGTCTGTGAGTCAGAAGCGCCAGACTGTCCTTGCAAAGTTGGAACTGCCCCACTTTATTGTGACAGACAATGCGTAGGCTAACGTTACTCTGCAGGTTCAGGAAACAGTCCTCCATAAAATGCGCTGCACACATCTGAATATTTGGGTTGAACTGTTCTGGAACAGCGTTGTAAATACAACTTAACCACTGATTTCTAGTTGTGTCCTCTTTTGGAAGGCCAAACAAAGTAGTTTCGCTTTCACAACGAAACACACATCGTCTTCACGACATGGCTGCGGCAGCAACAATACTACAGCGAGAATCAAAGTAACGCCTTCTTTCTTTGCGTGAATATTTGGGCGGTGTTATGCAAATCTTCCCACATAGTGACGTAGACATGTGGGGGCGTGTTTAAACAAGGTGTTTTAGGAGGGCGTGGACAAGTCTTAACTTTTATAAAGAATATCTCTTTGGGTTTGAGACTTTAGTCTTTGCAACTTTAGGGATCTTATCTATGCACGAACAGCTTGTAACACTCCAAAGAGAAAGGAAAATTTGAAATTCCATCATATGACCCCTTTAATTAATACATATGCACATACACACACACACATAACTACACGAGGAAAAAGCAAAGATAAATCTACACACTAATTCAACCACCAATACTTTAACATGTAGAGCACTTCTGCACTCAGAATGTAAAACGTATGACGTTATTTACATTCAATGATAACATGCAAAACAGAAAACATAAGTGACAACCTCTAACTTTTCCGTGTGAAACCAAGACAGGGAGTACGTTTTATTCAAATGTGCATCTAGAATCAGTTATTGAAAGCTTCCTTATCAATAGTTAACACCTTTACAGTAACGTACTATAAAAAAACCGACTCTTTAAAGATTTTTTGACAATAATAGCAGCCCTCGTACGGCTCAGTCACCTTGAGAAGAAAGGAGCAGTCCCACTAGGCCCTGAAACTTGTTTTCCCTCATCCGCCATTTTCTGATCGAGAGGGAGGACATGTTGAACAACCACAACAAAAGAGCAGCGGCCATTTCCCACTCGCTCCTTACTCAGCAACGGATAAACACACACTTCGTGATCAAATCTCATTCATTACACTACATTATACTACATTAGAGAGATCACGTAACGTTTTTAAAGTTATTTAAAAACGCCGTTCTTTCACGCGACTCACAGAAACGCTAGCGCTAATAAACGGGCTAGTTAGCCTGTCGGCACTATCATAAGTGTAAAACTATATATAAACATCAGATCAAACTAGTCCAGTTACCCCCAATCAAAATCCATTATAATGTCACTTATAATCAGACGTCTGTGCTCACCTGATGTGTGGGATTCCGACTCCTCCCTGGAGAATTTTGTACAACTTGCTTTCATACAGAAGTTGAGGGTGTCTAGCTTTCTGTGATTCCAATTTCACAGCTACCTCCTGAAATATTCAAAATTAAGTTCATTACTTATCTGCTACATATAGACGGTTTACAAAGCACTGAATACTGGTTTGATATTTGATGGTAAACGATCCTTTATACCTTGATCTGTGGAAACCATCTATTTCTATTCAAATCTGCAACAACATCGTTGACGTATCCCCCCCCCAATAGTAAGACATTTAGGTCATACAAGTATTACAATACGGTAAACTTTCAAGGTTGTATGAACTATTTTTTCAATGCCCATATGAATTGTGTCCTGGTAATCTGATGTGATGAGCTGGACATATGTATAAAGCCCTCAATCTTCTTATCCCAGTTATTCAGCACATTCATTAAACACCCATTTAATCTTTAACGTTACCTCTCCATTTGTGATGTTGATTGCCAAATAAATGTCACCAAAGGATCCAGATCCGATTTTACGAACGAGCTTGTATTTCCCACCGACTATGAACTCGGCTTTAGAGCCACTGCTGCTGGCCATGTCCTAAAATCCGAGAAGAACTCTGAAACTGTGTGAACGGGTGAGGTTTTCAGGCTGCCCTCTCTCTTCAGTCCAGTAGAAACAATGCTAGCTAGCCTAAAATCGGCGTTTCCTCACTAGCTGTGTCCTTAACAACTCACAACGGCGAAATTGAGATGATAACGGACATTGGTTTCAATCGGAGATTAGTAGTCTCGACATTTAAGTAAAAAACAAGACTATTTCCCCTGAGGTTGTGGCTGTTTTCTCTCTCTCTCTCTCTTCAGCAATTCCCCGAATAGCTGACTAGCAGCTTAGCCAGAAAGGACACGGAGGAGTCGGTGTCCTCGACGCTCTCTTCGAATCACCTCGCTCTGAGGGGCGACGTTTCTTCCTAAAGACGCGCTTTCCAGCCTATTCGACCGTACATCAAGGCAACCGACGTTTTAACGGTGAAGAAATTATGTGAGTCGCTGCTTTCTTTTCAAAGCGCAACCCACTCACTTCGCCATCTTGTCCGTCTCGAGATGAACAGAAGCTTCTGCTGATCGTCAGGCTGCCCTCTCTCTTCTTCAGTCCAGTAGAAACAATGCTAGCTAGCCTAAAATCGGCGTTTCCTCACTAGCTGTGTCCTTAACAACTCACAACGGCGAAATTGAGATGATAACGGACATTGGTTTCAATCGGAGATTAGTAGTCTCGACATTTAAGTAAAAAACAAGACTATTTCCCCTGAGGTTGTGGCTGTTCTCTCTCTCTCTCTCTCTCTTCAGCAATTCCCCGAATAGCTGACTAGCAGCTTAGCCAGAAAGGACACGGAGGAGTCGGTGTCCTCGACGCTCTCTTCGAATCACCTCGCTCTGAGGGGCGACGTTTCTTCCTAAAGACGCGCTTTCCAGCCTATTCGACCGTACATCAAGCCAACCGACGTTTTAACGGTGAAGAAATTATGTGAGTCGCTGCTTTCTTTTCAAAGCGCAACCCACTCACTTCGCCATCTTGTCCGTCTCGAGATGAACAGAAGCTTCTGCTGATCTGAAGAGAGGAGCGGGACCGTGCTAAAGCGCGCCGCCGGGGGCAGGGGAGGGGTTCACGCGTGATGTCAGTGGGGCTGCGGGAACGCGCGGCGAGGGCGCGCAGGGGAATTTGGGCATCTTTATTGTTGAAGTCAGTGTCCTACTTGTATTCTTTTAAATCAGAGTTTTATTTATATACTCGAGGGCAGTGTTGGGGGTAACGCATTACAAGTAGCGCGAGTTACGTAATCAGATTACTTTTTTCAAGTAACTATTAAAGTAACGCATTACTTTTTAATTTACAAGAGAGTATCTGAGTTACTTTTTCAGATAAGTAACGCAAGTTACTTTTTTTTTTCAATTTATTGATTGACAGCTCTCCTGTCCCCAGATGTTACTGTAGTTCTAAAATAAATATGAATATGCATTAATTCATCTCACTCACTCACACAAAAAAACACAGATTCAGTATTCCTCAAAATGAATAAAAATAATGCAGCTCAGAATATGACGCAAGCCTGCAATAATTAAATGCTAAACAACACAAATATCCTTTATGTATTTAATCCCATTCTATAAAGCAATGTCTTTGCTTCTGACCTTCGATGATCCAGTTCAACCGTACTAATAAGCACAAATTACTCTAGACAAACATTTGTGTGTCTTTGTTTATAGCTGAAGTGTGTTGACATTTCTTCTTCTGCATTCTACTGTACGGACGCGCATTTACTTTCCCTTCAGCCTGAGGGATATTCGTTTCACTTTTGGTGTGAAAAGGCTTTTATATTTGCCAAAAATAGAACTTTTTTATTTTAAAAACAAACAAGCAAGCCCTGTCTAGATTTAAAATGTAACGCAAAAGTAACGCAACGCATTACTTTCCATAAAAAGTAACCAAGTAACGCAATCAGTTACTTTTTTATGGAGTAACGCAATATTGTAATGCATTACTTTTAAAAGTAACTTTCCCCAACACTGCTCAAGGGCTATGACAGCTACATTATTGAAAATGGGGTCTGCATACCACATATATTCAGTATTTGGTATTTTCTCACAGCATTTCTTTTCTATTTGTATCGCTCCACAGACTTGATATGTTCTCGCGATGACTGTGCACGGTAACACGCGTCGGTGACCTGCGCTTCATGGTTCACTGATGCCATCTAGTGAGATCCTGCCAATAAAGCATAGTTCACCAGAAAATCTCATTTAGTTGTCATGTGCTCAGCCTCACCCTGATGATTGTTCAATCCAGTATGACTCGCATGTCTTTCTTTCAGAACAAAAAAAGAAGATTTTAAGACATTCTCGGTCACACTTCACTTTTTTTTTGTATGGAACAAAAGATTCCTTTAAAATAATAATGGTTAGAATGACATTCTCGGTCACACTTCACTTTTTTTTTTGTATGGAACAAAAGATTCCTTTAAAATAATAATGGTTACTAGATTGACCGTCCTTAAAATTCTGCCATCTCTTCAAAAGAAAAGGTTGGGACATCAGGGTGAGTAAATGATTTTGGATGAACTATCCTTTAAATGTTTCTCTCATTAAAGACATTGCACGCGTCCCTCTTAATTATAGTTTTAGTTCTGTTTGACTACTCATCAAACTGATGAATTGTTACCTAATCTCTTGATGGAATGTTTCATGACTACATAAGATGTACTTATCATAACACTATAAAAACAACGTTCAGAAAACAAAAGCATCCCAAACTGATAGGAGGGCAGGCCATCAATCAAATAAAGCAAATGAGCAATTATTGCTGCATATGTTAAGACCAACAAGGCATTTACTGACGGAAAACTATCACAGGTAATGAACCATCATTTTCTGCAACAGACATTTTGCGATTTAATGAAGTTAGCCATCATGTTTGTCAAATCAGACCTTTATTTAGAGCTCTGATTATCCAGCTTTGCTCCTCTTATGGATAAGAGGGACTTTATGCTTGTAAGTACAGCTTTCTATTGCTATTCCCGTTTAATTAAAAGCCAGTATAAATGGTAAGAAACAGAAGCAGTTTCTTTTTGATGCACTTTATTGGCAAGTCATGTCTAATCTAAAAACCACAAACAAATGACCTTAGTCCCAAATGCCCTTAGTCATTGTTTATGGACCATTGCATGAATGTCATCAGTCAGGTTCTTTCTGGGTAGGCAGAAACAATGAGAGGGAGGGAGGGAGGAGTGTTGGTTCATTTCAAAAGCTATATAACTATAGAGACCCGGATACAAAGATACACCTGCTGAGTTTCCCACTCTCAACTCGACTGTGACCATGAAGTTGGCTATTCTGATCTGCGTTTCTGTTCTCATTTACCTCTCTGGTAAGTATCAAAATTGGCATTTTATGGTACATAAATACAATGAAATGTGAATATTGTGCAATCTTAATTCAAACCAAAGCCAGATAGATAGATCAGACTACTATTGTTGATTAACATGCATCATATGACACTGACGTGTTATAATAAGCATGTTTGAGATACACAATATCTGTTTAACATATGGATGACTTTCAATTCATGGTTTGCTTTCCGGAAAATCCACACATGATAAGGTTACAGCTCACAAGATTAAAAGTCGTTCTTTAGAGCCATTATTCACTAACCCAGACAGACCCATTTTGTGATATTTTGGAATGGGTCTATGTTGTAGAGATCCATGATCGATGACATTTGACACTGATGAGAACTGAGATGCTGTTAAGTGGATCAGACTTTTTGCTGTTTTCAAAAAAAGAGAACATACGGACAGAAACAGCCCAGAATTGATAAGTTGAATTGTTGTTATAAGGTGACATCTCCTTTATCCAGCCTGATTCTCTGACTAGAACCTATTCTGAAGTATTGTAGGAACATATATCCCTTTAATCCATGCAAATACACTCAAGAACATAAAAGGATGTTAAAATGACTTAAATGAGTTAATTATTGTTTTTTTTGTTGTTGTTTTTAATTATAAAGATCATAACAAAAGGAAAAAAGAGAAGTGCAAATGCGTAAAGGACCTAGAAGCTATTCAAGCAAAACATACAATAGGTTGAAAAGAAAGTACAAAACTTGCTTAGCCACTTTTTTTTTTTTACATTTTTATCTAAGACTCGTCTGGAATTTCAACAGGCAACATTAGTGCCTTTCTTGGTTTATTTTTTCGAAATAATATACATTTTTCAATACTGTTTCCACAGTGGCAGAAGCACAACAGAGTGAGGTAAGTTAAAGAAAAAAACCTCTCTTATGCTCACCAAGGTTGCATTTATTTGATCAAAAATACAGTAAAAACTAATATTATCATTACTCCAGTATTCATTGTCACGTGATCCTTCAGAAATAGTAATACTATGCTGATGTTGTGCTCAATAAATGTTTATGATTTTTTTATCAGTGTTAAAACGGTCATGCTGTGTAATATTTTTGTGGAAACCTTAATACAATGTTTTCAGGATTCTTTAATGAATAGAATTGTTTACCATTTATTTGAAATAGAAATATTTTGTAACATAACTGTTTTACTTTTGATCAATTTAAAGTGGCCTTGCTTAAAATGATTCATGTCTTTAAAAAGAAATCTTACTGACCCCAAACTTTTGAACAGTAGTGTATAATCAAGTAAAATAGTGGTAAAGTGCCATAATATTTGGTTTGATTTTGGGAATCTCTCTTGACATCATAATAGGACAACAGTGTTCCTGATTTTGGATGTACTCGTGAGTACAATCCAGTGTGTGGAGATGATGGTGTCACATACTCCAATGAGTGCATGCTACACTGGGAGAACAAGTACGTGAGCTGAACATTTGTGCAATGTAAATTCAACATTTTGAGAAGGCTGAGGCAACAGATGTGAGAAAGTGAGAAATCAGCCCAGATGTCTGCTGTGAATCAATAACAAACCTCCCAAGGTTTAGAAACAGCTATGTTTTCATTATGACATTATGAGATCTATTATAAAAAAAAAAAGCACAAGACATAGTAAACATTCTTGACAGCAGTTCAAACAGAACTTGTGCCTCTTCTCTGTTTAGGTCTCGTGACAAGAATGTCAACCTGAAGCACGTAGGAGTGTGTGAGACCTCCTGAATTCACTGCCGTTACATCTATGGCATCCACAATGGCTTTCCATTTAGATACTACAGCAACAACCAGCATGATTTTCTGTCATACATTAATCAGTATAATAGGAAGACATATGCTATTGGAACTTTATCAGACATTGCTTTGTCGACATGTAATCTCATGCAATAAACAGAGAAGCATTTAAGAGCTCTATTTTCTTAATAAATTAATAAAAATAATTTCAAATAAGCCACATTCTCCAACTCTAAATGTTCTTTCTTCTTTTTGCTACATAATTACTATGGCTCTGTACTGAAAAGAAAAACGGCATAATTTTGTAGCACATATGAGCATTTTTTTTTTCCTGAGCCAGATAAGAAACATCAGAAAGCTAAAAATACTTAAAATATTTTAATATGTGGGTGAATGCAAGATTTCGTTTTTTTTTTTTTTTTGCATTATTCAAAAATGCATTAAAAATGCAATTTACACACACTGACTTGAACATATATTTTCTATAATGTACATGTTTTTGTTTTCTAATTATAAAGATCATAACAAAAGGAAAAAAGAGAAGTGCAAATGCGTAAAGGACCTAGAAGCTATTCAAGCAAAACATACAATAGGTTGAAAAGAAAGTACAAAACTTGCTTAGCCACTTTTTTTTTTTTACATTTTTATCTAAGACTCGTCTGGAATTTCAACAGGCAACATTAGTGCCTTTCTTGGTTTATTTTTTCGAAATAATATACATTTTTCAATACTGTTTCCACAGTGGCAGAAGCACAACAGAGTGAGGTAAGTTAAAGAAAAAAACCTCTCTTATGCTCACCAAGGTTGCATTTATTTGATCAAAAATACAGTAAAAACTAATATTATCATTACTCCAGTATTCATTGTCACGTGATCCTTCAGAAATAGTAATACTATGCTGATGTTGTGCTCAATAAATGTTTATGATTTTTTTATCAGTGTTAAAACGGTCATGCTGTGTAATATTTTTGTGGAAACCTTAATACAATGTTTTCAGGATTCTTTAATGAATAGAATTGTTTACCATTTATTTGAAATAGAAATCTTTTGATTTTGTAACATAACTGTTTTACTTTTGATCAATTTAAAGTGGCCTTGCTTAAAATGATTCATGTCTTTAAAAAGAAATCTTACTGACCCCAAACTTTTGAACAGTAGTGTATAATCAAGTAAAATAGTGGTAAAGTGCCATAATATTTGGTTTGATTTTGGGAATCTCTCTTGACATCATAATAGGACAACAGTGTTCCTGATTTTGGATGTACTCGTGAGTACAATCCAGTGTGTGGAGATGATGGTGTCACATACTCCAATGAGTGCATGCTACACTGGGAGAACAAGTACGTGAGCTGAACATTTGTGCAATGTAAATTCAACATTTTGAGAAGGCTGAGGCAACAGATGTGAGAAATCTCAGGCTAAGCCCAGATGTCTGCTGTGAATCAATAACAAACCTCCCAAGGTTTAGAAACAGCTATGTTTTCATTATGAGGACTAATGATCTATTATTAAAAAAAAAAGCACAAGACATAGTAAACATTCTTGACAGCAGTTCAAACAGAACTTGTGCCTCTTCTCTGTTTAGGTCTCGTGACAAGAATGTCAACCTGAAGCACGTAGGAGTGTGTGAGACCTCCTGAATTCACTGCCGTTACATCTATGGCATCCACAATGGCTTTCCATTTAGATACTACAGCAACAACCAGCATGATTTTCTGTCATACATTAATCAGTATAATAGGAAGACATATGCTATTGGAACTTTATCAGACATTGCTTTGTCGACATGTAATCTCATGCAATAAACAGAGAAGCATTTAAGAGCTCTATTTTCTTAATAAATTAATAAAAATAATTTCAAATAAGCCACATTCTCCAACTCTAAATGTTCTTTCTTCTTTTTGCTACATAATTACTATGGCTCTGTACTGAAAAGAAAAACGGCATAATTTTGTAGCACATATGAGCATTTTTTTTTTCCTGAGCCAGATAAGAAACATCAGAAAGCTAAAAATACTTAAAATATTTTAATATGTGGGTGAATGCAAGATTTCGTTTTTTTTTTTTTTTTTTGCATCATTCAAAAATGCATTAAAAATGCAATTTACACACACTGACTTGAACATATATTTTCTATAATGTACATGTTTTTGTTTTCTGAAATGAAATTCATTTGGACATGTTTGAGAGGCATAAAGTAAATATTGGGATGATACAACTGTCTTTGTATTATAAGAATCTGATCATAATTAGAATGTTAAAAAGCTTATTTAAAGTAAATAAAACCTGATACATATGAATAAAAAAAACAAGAACACTTCTAAAAACTTAGAAAATCTGTTTTGGAGTTTTACTCTGTTTTTTTTTTGGTGAACACATTTTAAATTGTCTTTTGCCGTTCTAATTATGTAAACATTTTCAAATAGCTCAGGGCTGCCCAAACTCGGTCCTGGAGGGCCGGTGTCCTGCAGAGTTTAGCTCCAACCCCAATTAAACACACCTGAACCAGCTAATCAAGCTCTTACTAGACATACTAGAAACTTACCAGCAGGTGTGTTGAGGCAAGTTGGAACTACCGGTGCATCTCAATAAATTAGAATGTCGTGGAAAAGTTCATTTATTTCAGTAATTCAACTCAAATTGTGAAACTCGTGTATTAAATAAATTCAATGCACACAGACTGAAGTAGTTTAAGTCTTTGGTTCTTTTAATTGTGATGATTTTGGCTCACATTTAACAAAAACCCACCAATTGCGTGGGGAAATTCCTCCTGATTGCATGGATTTCTAATGAAATCACTGGATTTTGCACACAAAAATTCACTGAACAGTAAATGTGACCAGTTTAAATCATGTGTAAGCAGTGGTTTTGATGAAGAAAATACCACTTACCTTGAAACAGCAGATCCAAGAACAAACGCAGCACTCTTCTGGAGATGAATGTCTGTACTGTTTAAAGCATTTATAACCAGTTGCATTCCTCCCATGGACACCAAATTCTGGCCATTATCTACCTATAAGAAAAACAAACAAACAATGGGATTCAGTGACTTTGAGAAGCAGTGAACTGTATAAGACATTTTGCTTCATAATCATAACTGAGGCTTGACCTGATGCACAAGGTACTCCAAGTCAAGAAGAGCTGTGACTTTCTCCTCGGTTGAGCTGTTAGTATTATTTAACTGGTTTAAAAGCCTCATCATAACTTGAACATCTGTTTCCATTAGCATGTCAAGTGCCTCCATGTCTTTTTTCAGCTCTTCGATGGGGCGAAATTGGGCCCTCACTGCATCTTCGTCCTATAATCATACATCTGGATTTAAAAAAAAAACTCAGTAACAAAGGAAAATGGTTAGAGATAAACTGAAATGAACATACTTGTGTTGTGTCCACAGGATCATCCATTCCTTCTTTATACTTTTTCAAAGCCTCTTTCAACTCCTCAGCTGTGAATGAGGGGTTGTGTGTGTTCATCCCTTGCCTGCTCCACAGAGGAAAAAATAAGCATGACTAGCTATATGATCCATGTATTTATTTTAGAATACTACATTATTCTATCACTATACCTATTTCCATCTCTCCGGTATTTGAGACCTTCCTCCTCTCCCAACTTGACCTCTCTTTGGCCCGTCTGAATATTCAATCGGACATGAGAGCCTGCTGGAATTGCTTGACCTAAATTGAATTACAGATAAATAAGGACTTGATCAGTTAATTATCTATTTATGTTAGGACACAAAAGCCAGCATGGGAATAAACACCTGGTTTTAGAGTTTGCCACTTGTCTGTAGGTCTAAACACCTCCAGATCTTCAGAATCCTCATCCTCTAGCAGTGTCTCTTCACCCTGGCTATGATCATCAGAGCCTTCTTTGATAGACAGGGCTGTTGGTGACTGCGTAGCCAAAAGTAATCGTTATTAAAGTGTTACAATAAAAGTAATACTAAGTTGTGATCTCACCTTCACACTGTGGGCACATATGAGATGAAGACTGACGAGCCAGAGGGCGATTGACAGTCCAAGTCGCCACTTCTTTTGTATAATACGTCTGGTTATCATTATCTTGGACAAAGAAATTGCAATATGCGTGCAGATGAATTATGAAAAATAATATGATAAACAATCATAGGTCATCCATTGCCAGGATACCAGCCGATACCAAAATCCATTCCCAGACTTTAACGATATTCGGTTATTAAATTAACTCATCCTGGATTTGCCCGTTTTATTGAAGTTGTTAACATGCGGAGTTTAACGCCTGCACCATCCAAAAAGAAACAACTAGAAACCGGCACGTGCATTTCCGTAGTCCATCTGGACGGAATACGTGAACCAATCAGACAAATGCAAGTGTGTGTTTTCGGAAAACGTCATTCTTTCTGGTCGCGATGATTGGCTAAAGGAAGATGCACCTTTTCCTGACGCAATCAAAGGCAAGTTAAAGGGATAGTTCACCCAAAAATGAAATTTGATGTTTATCTGCTTACCCCCAGGGCATCCAAGATGTAGGTAACTTTGTTTCTTCAGTAGAACACATATGATGATTTTTAACTCCAGCCGTTGCAGTCTATCAGTCTTATAATGCATGGCAATGGTAACAAAATCTATGAGAGTAAAAAAAACATGCACAAATCCAAATTAAACCCTGCGGCTTGTGAACACACATTGATGTCCTAAGACACGAAACGATCGGTTTGTGCCAGAAACCGAACAGTATTTATATCAGTTTTTACCTCTAATACACCACTATGTCCAACTGTCTTTGGGCGCACGCACCACATCCGGTGCGTGAGGTGTGTACGCGCTCTGGCGTAGTTTACGTTAATGGGTGTGTTGATATCCAGCCTTAGGACATCAATGTGTCGTCACGAGCCGCAGGGTTTAATTTGGATTTGTCTGTGCATGTTTTTTTTACTCTCATAGATTTTGTTACAATTGCCATGCATTATACGACTGATAGACTGCAACGGTTAAAGTTAAAAATCATCATATGTGTTCTACTGAAGAAACAAAGTCACCTACATCTTGGGTGCCCTGGGGGTAAGCAGATAAACATCAAATTTAAATTTTTGGGTGAACTATCCCTTTAAACCCCTGTCCATGTCTATGGTTAAACCTACCCCTTTTTAAAAAAGTAATTTAAATATTTTTATATTACATTTTTAAAATAGTACACAGCTACAATTTTAATGTAAACTTCCTGTGAATTACCTATATGTGAATTACACAAACAGCATAATACAAATCTATAAAAAAAAACACTTTTCGGTACCAAAACAACAAATTGAGAAAAAGAAATCAACAATAAGGCTATACTAATGATTATATAAACTAACCATTTTGCACAAATGCAGCTGAAGCAGAACATATTATGAGAAAATGGCAAATACTGTACTCAATAGAATAACACAGTGGCTTATATACTGTTAATCAATCAGTGTCTCACAGTGAAAGCCAAAAACTGAAGACCATAGCAATCTGGCTCTTATTGTTTGTTTGTAAACCACTCTAAAACATAGAAATAATAGGTACACAGCAAGCTGAGTACCAGAAATTTATGAATTACTAATCAGGCTGCATTAATTCACCTTTTTTATTCAAACAGTCGAAAATAGTTAATTATTTTACAGCGCTTATTAATACATGTAAAAAAAGGTAAACTGTTTTACAAATCAGGTGCATAGGCAGGACAAGCCACAAATCAAATAATGATGTAAATTATACACCTGTAAAATTCATACACAATATCTTGTATTTTTGTGTGTTTTTTTTTTTTTAAGTATGACAAATATTGATAAAGAATTCACATTTTACAATAGCCAAACTACTGTTGAGCACACTCGTTTGCCATAGTTTTTTCTGAGTTAACATGAGTGGGCTGTTGGTACTTTATCCTCTTCCTTTCAGTTCTCCAGTTCTCCTCCTCTTCGCTGCTTTGATGAGTTTGATCCTCATTCTTGCTATTGGAGTCACTTACAGGAGACCTACAGGCAAATCATTCAGTTTGTCGTGGTTCAAATTACAGACCTTAAGTGCTAAAATGTAAATGTCATAAAACAACATTTAGTTAATTGTAACAACCATTATTGCTACTGTCACAGGAGTGTTTCTTTAAAAAGTAACATTTTAATTATTGCAAGTTAATGTAACTAACATTATTGCTACTGCCACATGTGTGTTTCTTTAAAAGTTAAAATTTTAATGTCACTGTCAAAAGGTTCTGACAGTTGAAGTGCAAAAGGTTAACTATGTATTTATATTACTCAAATATCAGGCTACATTTCACAATGATTTAACAGTTCATCTTCTTAAAGTGTAGTCAATAAACCAATATCTCATGGGATTAAATGTCTTCGAGCTACAGGGTTCCTGAGTGGCAACGGTAGAGAGGGAAGTGACGGTCGAGGAGCGAGTGTTCTCATAAAACCCAGGAAGAGGAAGATGACAAAGACTGTAAAGTTGACACAGCGCAGCAGAAAGGAGAAGGGTTGGCATGCAGAGGTTGGCACTGACCTGGGCGCATCAGGAATGCAGACTGGGGGATCCTCACAGATTCGGACAGACTTGCTTTCACGGGACATGACAGGGTTGGGTTCTGAGGGTTGTGCAGACTGCAAGGGGATCACAACTGGCTTCTCAACAGGATGACTGAGGGTTTTTTCCTCTGTACTAGAGCCCTTGCTTGGCTCAATGTCCATTGTTGCAGTTTCCTCTTTGCTAGGTGCTGATTTTTCCTCTGGAACCGCTAAAGGAAACTTCTCCCGGCGGCGTTTCTGTACTTGTACTTTGTTCACCTCTGAATACATAACAATGGTACATTTATTACCAGCACATAATAGCAGCGCAAAGATGAATTACAGCAGTTACCCAATAGAGTGCAATAGTATTTTTGCCAAGTTAGTAGTTCCAAAGTATTTTTCCCATACATATTTTTAAAAAGTACATACGCAAAAAGTACAACTACATATTTTTATTCTGTGTAATTAACATTTTATGAGTAATAAAAATGTGTGTGTGTATATATACAGTGGGTACGGAAAGTATTCAGACCCCCTTAAAATTTTCACTCTTAACAATATTGCAGCCATTTGCTAAAATCATTCAAGTTAAGTTTTTTTCCTCATTAATGTACACACAGCACCCCATATTGACAGAAAAACACAGAATTGTTGACATTTTTGCAGATTTATTAAAAAAGAAAAACTGAAATATCACATGGTCCTAAGTATTCAGACCCTTTGCTGTGACACTCAAATATTTAACTCAGGTGCTGTCCATTTCTTCTGTGCTTCGTGGAAATGAGTGCTAAAGAGTTTTTTTTTATTAATTTGCTTGTCGTGATTGTAAATTGGTGGAGAGTTCTTTGCAGAATCATACCAATGATTAACATCCTCATAGATCACATTAGATCAGTCTTAGACTTAGATTTATAGGTTATTGTTAAAAATCAATGCTCCTTTGGAGAAAATGAAAATAATTTTTACTTCCGGAACCGACTGTTGGACTCTATTACACAATAAACAGGTTTATGTAGAAAACTAATTTTCAGAGATGGAGTAAAAATTACCGTTAGGTATATATTTCATCTTTAGTTCTTCAAGCTTGACCTGGAGCCTCATATTGTCACTGTGTCTTTGTTTTAGTGCTTGCTCTGTGCCATAAAGTTTCCTCTCCAACTCCAACACTCTCTGACTTTCAGAGAGAGCCTTCATTCTTGCCATGGACAACTCGTCCTTCAGTTTCTCTGCATCTTTCCTATACACATACATGTCATGATTGTTTTGAAAAGTTCTAAAGTAACACCACCAGTACAAATAACTGATGAGAGAATACTTACTTTGAATTTGAAAGTTGCATTTTTAATAGGTCTGTGTAATAAGTCTCATCCATAACCTCGCCTTCTTTAGAGGGGGCAGGTGGATGCTGGTCTTTTACAGTCATCTGTTGGTGACGTCACATTAGCATTAGTTATTACTATTCATTTCTCAGACTTTAATATGTTTCATAATTTCTATGTTGAATGTGATATGCTAAGCTCACCTTCGCTTTCTCCAGCTCTCTTACTTTCATCATCAAGCTTTCTATCTCATTGTTTTTGTCAGATAACATGAATTGCAGTCGTTCAAGCTGTGCTGGGTCAGCCCTGTTGCCCTGGAGCTGCATAAGGGTGGCTATCTGCATCTAAAACGGCACACACAAGGAAAACAATAATGTGTATGTATTGTAAATAAAACTTTTATTTTATTAAGAAATTATTAAAAATTTCTTAGAAACCACTATTTACCTTCATGCGGTGCATATGTTGTTTGGTGAGAGCATGCTGCTTTTGTAGAGACTCATGCTGTCGTTTCATGCTTTTCAGCTGCCGCTCCATCTCTGCTCTCTTGTCCTCTACCTGTGCAAATCCAAATATTTTGTGTCATGGCACAAAGCAATTTAAGTGTAACCTCTCAAAACATTTAGTAACTACAGTTTTATTATTATCAAGCAATATCTTTGAAATATTTGGAGTAGCTGTCCCATATTAACAATTTATATGCAATTATAATTTTTTTAACAAACAAAAAAAATAGTATTGCATTGGTATTATAAAATGTTATTCAGATGCTCTTGAAATTAATCTTTAATTACAATGAAAGCTTTTGGCAGACATAAATATCATAAAGCCAAGTAGTAGAAGTAACGCTTAATGCTGTACCTCAGAAAATAAAGAATTGCCTTTGCTGTTTGGATCTTGTGCCTGCTGCAACACCTGTTCCAGCTGGATTTGAAGGTCTTGGTTGGCTTCACGAGCTTTCTACATACAGTAGAACAAAAAATGTTTTTATATATATATTTTTTTTTTTTCTCTCTTTAAAAAAGATTTAATCTTTGACTTAATTAGGTTTTCCCCTCAATCAGCACAGAAAATGTGCATCAGAATTCCATGTGGGCCTACTTATCACTATAGGACATATTTTTCTAGAGTATTATCTACATTATCCATGTCAATATAACAATACCGTTTAAAAATGTTTAGGGAAATTAATACTTTTGTTCTACAGGAATGCATTAAATTGATCCAAACTGATCTAAAACTAAAAAATTTTTACAAACGAATGTTGTTCTATTTCTCAAAGAATCCTGAAAAAAAAAATATATATATTACGGTTATCACAAAAATACCAAGACAACTTTTTTCAACTGTGATAATATTAAAAAATGTTTCTTCAGCATCACATCTGCATATTAAAATGATTTCTGAAGTAACATGTGACACTGAAGACTTCGCTTTGCCATCACAGGAATAAAGTACATTTTAAAATATATTAAAATACAACACAGTTATTTCAATTGTAATAATATTTT